TGTGTCTGTGCATGCAGTTCTCTTTTTGATTACCAATCGTTGACTGTGGCTTTCGACAAAAAGCGATATTACTGTAAAAGTTTGAGCGGAACTCAAATAAAAAGGATAAAGAAGAATCAGAACAGCAAAATTATCATTTATAGGCGAAATGTTTTAATGACAACAAATTGTTTGTCACTGATAAAGGTTCAATTAATAGAATATTTATGTTTTCATTTATCCACAGAAATCGTTTATGACTGCACTTCTAAAATAAAAGTGTTGCTCTCTAAAAGCTGCAAAAACAACAGAACGTCAGATTGCTACAAGAGGTCGATTTGCCACATTTTATACTCGACACTTTTTAATGCAGTGTTTTCTCTTAGTAAAACAGTGCAGTTTTCTGACAGTGTAGTTGTTTGAACAATATTCGTTTCACAGATCTTGAAGATTATCGCTTTTACCAATTTCGTTACCTATAAAAAACACGTAGTTACCAATAGGGTTTTCATATATTGAAACTTTCACTTAGTAACTTTTCTTTAAAACTGTTCAGGCAAGAAAATTCCAAATCTGTTCCAAACGGTGCTCGTTTCGTTAAGGACGATGACATTGAAATACAACAGAGCCTACTTTCTCTGATTCCAACAGTGCAGTAAAGAAATCACAAAAACATAGACTAAAATCTTTTCGCAAGAATTTGTTGCAGAGAGAAATGAAGTGAAGGTTTAAAGGTATCATTCTGAATAAAGCAAACTAAAGACAGAAATTTACTGAATTATCTCAAACCTAATTTTCTATTAAACTGCTAATAAATTTTATGGTGGCCTCTTAATAAATGACTGGCAGTGCTGGTGACTGAAAAATTGAAAAAAAAAAAGATGAGTGGCAGTAGAAGAATTGCTCAAATCTCTTTACAAAGACATAAGACTAGTTCTTTACAGACGCTTCCTGCAAAACGTATTTTACGCCTCCAAGTTAAAAGCGGAACTCTATTGTAAGCTGAGAAGGTTTTAGTGGAATTGAACAGTGATTGTAGCACGCAAGTGACAACATTTCTTTTTAATTTCCTTTCTTATTTCCATTTTCGTTATAATTGTCGGGCAGCTTGAAAGAGGACTTGTTTGTAAGGGTAATTTAGAGAACTACAACCCGCTTTGGCCTGCTTTTTAAAAATGTGGCATGGTAACAGCGAGTCCGTCGCAGAAGACTGGTTTCCTGGAGCCGACAGTGTCAGTAGAAAAATCGCTTAATTCTTTTTATGGGCTACAGTTGCATCACTGCTACAAAGACATGAGACTCGCTTATCGCGGTTTTTAAGAATACTACATGGATTTACATCCCGCTTTTGGCCTTCTTTTTAAGGCTGCGGTATGATAACATTTGGTTCTTTGCAGAAAGTTGGCTTTCTTAGACCTGATCGCATTTGAATATAGAGACTATGATAGGGTTTTAAAAGGGTATGCAATTTTTGTTGGTGTATTAGTTGAAAAGTGGGAAAAAACTAGCAGAGAAGTACTAAAGTCAGAAATCTGTAAATTTTTGCTTTCTTTCTCTTCTTTTTTTTTTTTCAAATTTGTAAAGTGGAATAGAAAACTTACAGAAATGAACCTTTAAACAATGGTTTGAAGTTAATTTCTAGAGGGTAAAACCAAAGGTTTTAAAGTTACTAAATAGGCAGCCTGGTTTTTGGCGGGTGGTTCTTAAAAAGCATCGTAATACTTTAGTAAAATTGCTAATAATTGAAAAAAATTTGACGTTTCCTCAGCACTGTTCTTGGAAGCAAATTTTGAAAGTTCCTTTAGAGGTACAGCCATTTGAAGGAAACGGAAACTAAAAAGCACACTGTGCTTTTGATAGAAGATTAGAATTCTTCCCAAGTCTCCGAGCAGGAACGCTAAAGTTATGAAAAGTTTTGATGTAAAACATGTAAGATGGAGCGTTTTAAGCACATTGCACATCAAACGTAGTGTTTAAAGTTTGAAAAAAATTTTGTTGTATGGTAGGCTAACGTAAGTAAACTTAATGCGAGAAGGACTAGAGACAACGTAGAAACTTTCTAATGATCTTTTTTATTTGCAAATTACATTCCTCTCAGTTTTTTTTCCATTTTTCTTCACGTTTATTTTGCAGTACTTTTTGCTCACACACGTAAAATTCCTTTTTTACGTAAGGGTATCATCTGAATAGCCGATTACAGCTGCTCAGTAAAAAACTTTTGTACCATATCCTGCAGCATCAGCAGATCAGGCACCGACGAAGCAATTCTTCACCATTTAGCATTTTGTCAGCAACCGCACCACTTTCTAGGTTTTTTTGCTACACCAGTAACAAGCAATTAAATTGTTCTTGTGATAAAGTACTATAAGTTTAACTAAAGAGCGTCTATATTCGCTTTACCACAACTGCCAAACGGAGCGCTGGCGATGCGTGCTCCAGTCGCAGCGAAGTCCAGTTTCAAACTATTCTCAATGCCTCTTATAATGTTCTTTCAAAATGAGTAATCATTTGACATAATCTCAGCAGTCAAGAAAAACTGAGTTGTTTTTGATTTTCTTCAGATTTTTTGGTACTTTTAACAGCTTGAACAACGCAGCTTAAAATCTCAAAAGGAGGAACCGAAAAGTACTTTTGAAAGAGTTAGAAGAGAAAGAGACCAAAACCAGCAAAAACAACAATTTCGTTTAAAGGTCTCAAAGATTTTGCGCTAGTGGAACTATACAAAGACAGGCCGCAACTTTATTTTTCAAATTGTCGTATTTAAATGTGATATTCGATATGTGTCGTTACTGCAGTTTGAAGCTAGTATTGAGTGATCAAATAAACGAAAAAAATATTTAGAAATAAGAATCTAGAAGAAGCTGATTCGACTATAATTTCCGCATAATTAGATGGTGATATAAAGAAGGGATCACAGATCTTTTGGGCATTTTATCGCCTAATTATTGGTTCATCAACTGATGAGCGATACTTTATGATAAACAAGCAGTTGATATGCACAAAGTGAAATTCTTAATATAATTTTGCTGTCTTATTTTTCTAAATTTTTTTAAAAATGTTATTCGGTGAAACTAAAGGTATTTTTCATCTTTTTTTTTGATTTAGTTCTTAGTTTTTATTTAAAACGAATTGACAGAAGAGTATGAATAATTCGGCAGAATCAAACCACTAAATTAAAATGAACAAGAACGGAAAAGTAAAATATTATTTACTTTAAAATTTCCAGAGATCAGAAACAG